CTGTCTCTCTGGCGAACGCATGTGCCCTATAGCAAAAATCTCTCTAAATAATAATAATAATAATAAATAATAGATAAAATTAAATAATTCTTAAAGAAAAAAAGATTGGCTGGGTTTGGAGGATGAAAGGGAAGAGAGAAACCACTCCTCAATGGGAACTGGTCACAATCCTTTTTCTTTTAATTCTCCAACCTGTCTGGATCCTAGGTGCACACACACCTGGCATGTAAGCCACCAGGTCTGGGACTTGAGTCCTCATTGGCCATGTGGGATCCAGCTTCCTCCATACAATACACGATACTTAGTTGCTATGCCATGGGGAAGACCCAGCCCCTTCTCTCAAGGATCTCAGGAGAGTAGGGAGAATATTCAGGGTCTGCCATAGGGTGATGTGACCTGGAAGATGAGTTGTTGCTGGGTTTCATAGGGCAGCTTGAAGGGAAAGGTGGAGCATTGTGGGACAGGAACCGCAGGGGCAAATGATGGGACACGAGCAGGACTTCCAGGCTGGATTTGTGATAAGAGAGACCAGTGTAGACCTCCAGACATAGGACCTGACATAGTGAGATCTGGAGAGGGGTCAGGAGAGGAATGAGCAGAGCCAGAGGAGCCCAAGAAGTATTAAAATCTGGGGAGAAGCTTGGAAGTTGGTTAGTTCTGGCTGACTGCATGACATGGGACAAGGAGTGGAGGGGTGGGGAATACGGAAGACCAGAGGTGATCACCAGCAACACTGGGAAGTTCTGGTCATCATCCTCATCCTTAGGGGAGAATGAGGGTAGAAAGGATGGGGCCAGGGTGAGAAACTCTGTAAGGAGTCCCAGAAAGGAGCCAGTGCTGGGGAGTGGATTGGGGTCAGAAGTAGAGGCATGGGTGTGCTGTACCACCCGGGGGGAGCGTTCAGGCACCATTAGTTGGGGTGGACCTAGGTGGGTGGGAGTCAGGCAAGGATAGGGTGGGTGTATAATTGTTTGTGGAGACCTAGTGCATCCCGTGTGAGGGAGGCTGTGGCCCTGGCCTGGAGGCATGGAGGAGGACAGTTTGTGGCTCCTCAGGGTAAAGCTGGGAAAGACAATGGGCCCGAAGGTCAGTAAGGACTGGGTCCAGGCCTGAGCTCCCTTTTAGGGAGGCCTGCTTGCAGGGTCATTTGAAAGGCCAGCTTTCCTGGGGCTTTTGTGGAATTAGGACTAGATCATTAAGAATGACTGAGAATGTAGGCTGCTGTCACTGTTTGCCAAAGAGCCCCTCTGCATTCCAGATGCTGAGAGTGGGGCAGGGAGTGAGCTGGGAGTGCTCTCCCTCGGACCCAGCATCTGTGTGGCCCACAGATGAGAAGCGCAGGCCTTTCCCCATGTATTGTTGCCTGGAGTGCCCTGGCTTCCCATTGCTAGTCCTCGTCTCCGGCTCAGCCCCAGTCCTGGTCTAAATCTGCCACCTGCATGCTACCTCTACTCTTCTCTGGCCATAGGCCCTGCCCTCCCCCCTCAGTTTCCACCTGTCTCAAAACCTGCACGATTTGTGCCTCCCTTTGATTCTTCCAGTTCCATGTGTATGTGAGGGTGCCACAGCCAGGTGCGAGCGTGTCGCAGAACATGGTCTTGGAGTTGACAACCCTAACCCTTTTCCTTGTGTTTGCAGCCTGCTCCAGCTGGTGATCTCAGGCCCAGTACAGCAGTCACCCCATACAGCGCTGCCCCCGGGGTTCTACCCTCATATCCACACGCCCCCGCTGGGCTACGGGGCTGTGCCAGCCCACCCCGCTGCCCACCCTGCCCTGCCCACCCACCCTGGGCACACCTTCATCTCAGGTGTGACGTTTCCATTCAGGCCCATCCGCTAGGCCGGTTCCACGTGAGCCGCCAAGCGGCAGTGTGCCTTCTGCGTCTGGGTCAAAGAAGCCTTCTGGAGGAAGGGGTGACCAACCCCACAGAAGAGGACCTTAGGGAGGCAGCGAGTGGCCCCTCCTCACTGGCAAAACCATCTTGGGGTGAAGTCCTGATTCGTCGCATCCAGGTGCCTCCTGCCTCGTCACACTTAAAAATCCAGATTGGATGGATGAAAGGAAACATGTCCAGCCCTCTGGAGAGAGATTACTGCGGGTGTTTTTAAAATATGCCAACTCCGTGGGCCTTTGTTCTCTATGTGTCATTTCAGACACGCTTTCTGAGCCTGTGTGGGGGATGCTGATGGAGGAGCCGCATTTCCAGGTCCCCTGTCTGGCCTCTTTCCTGGTGAACGTGATGTGGCCCTGCTATAAACACAGGCTCTTTCTGCAGCTCTGTGAGCTCAGAGCTGACACGACATGACCACAAGCTTGTGCACAGCACTTGCCATGGGCTCGAGGGACCTGTCAGGATTTCCCTGTCTCCTAGGAAAGGAACTTCTCTGTTTTATTGGGGTATCTAAATTTTCCTTTCATATGTTCAAATAAATTTTTTCTAAACAGTTTTATAGACTTTATGGAATATATTTTAACAACTTAATATGAGCTGCAGGGGTTTTCTCCCTAGACCGTGATGATCATGGTAAGAAGATTGAACACAAATTTGTAGCCACTTCTTTTGACGGGCACACAGCAGACACACTGTCCCTGGCTGGTAGTCTGAGGTCTGTGAGCACATGGAGCCCTGGCAGTCTGGTCTGTTTGCTTTGGGTGCATTCATTCTTTCTGCATGCACAGCAGATAGCCCTGAGGAATTTCTTTTTCTATTACAAGATTGTTTCACATTCTCATTTATTAGTTTTGGGAGAAAGGGAGACCAGTACCCATGTCACTGACTTTCCTTGCCTAAAAGTAAGAAATGAAAGATGGTAACAGCAAACAACTAAGGACCTTGTATTAAAGGACAAGAGTCACTTGTAAGGATGATATTTAACCTTGTGATTTATTTACCCTTCTATTCTTGGATAAAGGCTGTAACCGGAAGAACAGACCAAATGACCTAACAAATACTTCTGTGTGTGTGTGTGTGTATGTGTGTGTGTTTTAAATCTGAAATCAGGGTCAGCCTGTGGACAGCTGGATCCCACATGACCAACTGTGAGCTTCAAGTCCTAGAACCGGCAAGACCCGGCAGCTTGAAAAACATGTCAGGATTTTGGATAAAAGTGTACCCAAAATCCCAAAAGGAGAGAGAGATGAAGAAGGGATTGGAGCATGAGCATGCCCTCTGGGAAGTTGTGAAAAATCTGAAGTTAAAGCTTCTCTCAAGATCAGGAACGTGAGCTAATACAGTGCTATGTAAGGGCTGTTATGGGTTGACGAGGACCACGTGTTCTTCAGGTATGTGAGCCAGGGCCACTGGAGTGTCACCACTGGAACCCACCTGCATAGTGAAGCTTATCAGAAATCTGTTTTCATATTGGTTCCAGGTGTTTCAGGAAAGCAGCTCTGAGTGATCAGGTGGCATAATGGCTATGTGGCTGGACTCCCACATAGTTGACTATGGTTTGAGTCCCAGACCTGGCAGCTTAAACTCCCACTGGGCTTGTGCATGTGTGTGTGCCAAGATCCTAAGAGAAGGGATTGTGGCATGGCTATAACCCTGGAATGGTGATTTCTGGTGATTTCACTCTTGGTGGGTGATTTCTCACTTTCTGTCGCTCAGTCTTTCCAGCGAGCTCATGCACCTTATAGCAAAAATCACTAGATAATATACAAATTTTTTTTTTTTTTTTTGGAGAGATTTTCACTGTAGGGCGCGTGCGCTCGCCAGACAGACAGAGAGAGACATAGAGATAGAAAGCGAGAAATCACCCCCCAGGGGGGATGGTCACGCCGCAATCCCTTCTCCTCCATTCTCCTCTCGGGATCTTGGGCACGCATGCACACGTGCCCGGCGTGAGTTTTAAGCCACCGGGTCCGGGACACGAACTGCGGTCGACTATGTGGGAGCCCAGCGACATAGCCATTACGCTAACTGCTGGTTCCCAATATACAAATATTTTTTAAAAAGAAAAAAAAAAGGAAAGCTCTGGGCCAGCAAGTGGCAGGGTGGTTAAGGCAACTGGATCCCATGTGACTGACTGCACAGTTTGAGTCCCAGACCTAGTGGTTTGAAAAAAGCACTGGGGATGGGGCCAGCAGTTAGCGTAATGGCTATCGCTGGACTCCCACGTAGTCAACCACGGTTTGAGTCCTGGACCCGGTGGCTTAAGCTCATGCCGGGCGCATGTGCGTGTGTGCCCAAGATCCCAAGAGGAGAATAGAGGAGAAGGGATTGTGGCATGGCCATCTCCCACAAGGTGATTTCTCACTTTCTGTCTCTCTGTCTCTTTCTGTCTTTCTCGTGAGTGCATGCACCCTATAGCAAAAAACCTCTCCAAAAAAAAAAAAAAAAAAAAAAACACTGGGTGCATGTGCATACACACCCAAAATTCCAAGAGAAGAGAAGGGATTGTGGTGTGGCTATTTCCCTGGGGTTGGGGGGATGATCTCTCACTTTTTCACCCCCTTCAGTGTGCAAATGTGCCCTATAACAACAACAAAAAGAATAAGGCTCTCCTGTTGCTCTCCTGTTGCTTCCAAGTTCATCAAGAAGGTCTGAGAGCAGTGGGGTTGCAGCACCATCTTGCGAGCTGGCCTCACCATTTATAGGGGCTGAGTGCAACTGTGCTCCCCAGACCCAAGGTTTGGTTTGTGCCAAAACAAAGAAAAAAATGTAGGAACTACAGCCACTGGAGCCACAGCCTGCCTTGGTGATATTCTTAGCAGTATACTAGTAATTAAATCAACCTATTAAACATGTAGATACAGGCAGGCTGTTCACACCTGCACTGGTTGGTTCTTCCCTATTAATAATGAAAGTCAATCCTCCTATTTAGAAATTATCATGTGCCAGGCACTTGCTAAGTATTTTACATATGTTAAACATGAACAGATGAGGGCCAGCAGATGGTGTGGTTAAAGTCACTGGACTCCCACATGGCTCACTGCAGTTCAAGTTCCAAACCTGGCGGCTTGCTTTCCCATTTTCACTCCCTCTCTCTTTCTCTGGTGAGTGTGTGTACCCTGTAGCAAATTTTTAAAATGAATACAAATTCTAGAATGAATGGCTAGATGAGTCAGTTATTTGTGATGTAGAAAACTATTTGTACAGAATGTATAAAGAACTTTAAAAGACCATCTAATTTTTAAAAAATTGGGTAAAGGACATGAACAAAATTAATAGAGAAAATACAAATGGCCAATATACATGAACAGATTCTCTACATAAGTGCTAACCAGGAAAATCTCGGTTATAGTGAGATACCATTTTCTTTCTTTTTTTAGACAGAGAGAGAAAGAGCAAAGGCGAGAAATCACCCCCCCGGGGGGGATGGCCACACCACAATCCCTTCTCCTCCATTCTCCTCTTGGGATCTTGGGCATGCATGCACACGCACCTGGCGTGAGTTTAAGCCACCAGGTTCGGGACTTGAACCATGGTCGGCTACATGGGATTCAGTGACATGGCCATTACGCTAACTGCTGGTCCCCTGAGGTACCATTTTTTTCATTCATACACCAGATTGGCAAACTAGAAAGTGTAGTTACTAGAAACAGTATCGCACCCCACACTGGAGAAATTAAAACATGACCTTGTGCTACAGCAGTTCCAGGTATGAAAGGATGTCTGAGGATGTTTGCTGAAGTATCCTTGGTAAAGAGCACATTTATTGAGAGAGAATTCACGGATCTCATGTATCCAGTTGTCCATTTAAAATGTGTAGTTTGGACCAGCAGGTGTTATGAAGGTTAAGATGGTTGGATCTCACATGGCCGATTCTGTGGTTCATGTCTTAGACCTGGCAGCTTGAAAGTCACACTGTAGGCATGAGTGCCCAAAATCCCAGGAGACGGATGGAGAAAGGATTGTGGCGTGGCCATCCATCCACTTCCCCAAGTGGTGATTTCTCTCTGTCTCTCTGGTGTGCTTATAGAAAAGAAACTAAAATAAAATTCAGTATAGCTTTTAGTATATTCATGTGGTCGTGCAACCATCACCTATTTTTGAACCTTTTGTCATCCCAGATAGAAACCCCATACCCATTAACAGTCACTCTCCCTGCCCCCCAGCACCTGGCAACTACTAATCTGTTGGTTTCTATGGATTTGCCTTTTCTGGACATTTCATATAAATGGAATCACACAATATGTGGCCTTGGGTCTGGCTTACTTCACTTAGTATAATATTTTTGAGGTCCGTCCATGTAGCATGTGTCAGAACTTCATTTTTTTATGGCTGAACAATCCATCATATACACAAGTTTTATTTATTTGTCAGTTGGACAGTTGGGTTGTTTCCAGTTTGGGGTTCTTATGGATATTGATGCAGTGAAAATTTGTGTGGATATTAGTTTTCAATTCCCTTGGGGAAAATATATGTATGTATGTATGTATATATGTATACATATGAAATTGCTTGGTGTAGTGTTTTTTGATAAGGAAAATGTAGAAATAGCTTGAATAACTATCAGTAAAGGACTGGTTAACTGAGTTGTGCACTCAGAAGACATTCAAGACCAGGCAGATAATGTCAGTGAGGGAAGCTACCAGCAGTAGCCCCCTGGAGGGACTGGGTGCTGGGTGCTGTGCTGAACTGGAAAATACAGAACTGACAATTGCCACATTGGCAACTGTCACTCACCTTCTGGCCAAGGTGAGTGTTGCCAGAACTTACGGATTTCAAGAGAAGATAGAATTAGGATTTTGTATGTGTATGTGGGTACATGTACTGTATTTCATTATTATTATATTTTTTTTTGGAGAGGTTTTCACTATAGGGCGCGTGCGCTCACCAGAAAGACAGAGAGAGACATAGAGACAGAAAGCGAGAAATCACCTCCCCAGAGGGGATGGCCACACTGCAATCCCTTCTCCTCCATTCTCCTCTTGGGATCTTGGGCACGCACGCACACACGCCCGGCGTGAGTTTAAGCCACCAGGTCCAGGACGCAAACTGCGGTCAACTACGTAGCCATTACGCTAACTGCTGGTTCCCTGTATTTCATTATTTAAAAACCCTGGACCATCCCCATGGCCTAGTGGTTAAGGGGGCGGGTCCTACATGGTTTGAATTCCAGTCCCAGTGGGTTGAACAATGTGCCAGAAGAGTGTGTGTGCGGTGGAGTCCCGAGATCACTCCCGTGAAGATGGCAGGCGCCATTACAGTGGCCTCGGCAAAGTGGCTTTGGGCAGGAGACCTGCTTGTGCTGAGACGGTAGAGTGAGGGGCTTTTCTGTGAGATTTCCTCACAGTTTGGTCCTACCTCGCAGACAGCGGGAAAGAGACCACTTCACTACAGAGGCTGTGACTCAAGGTCTCTGGACAAAGCGGGCTTTGTGCTTCGTGTGTCGCATGTAGTACCCAGACTGTGGTGACGAGGGCACCATGCTCAGACTTCTGAGAGGAGCCATGAACTTCTTCTGAAGAAGAGTGGACTCCACCCAGGAGCAGCAGGTAGAGTT